TTTTTTTGTAATCTTCCTCTAGTCGAGTTTTGATTATCAGGCCTTCGAGGCTAGGTCACATGGGTACTGTCTGCAAGTTTGGGTGTTCCTGTTCATCTCCCCTCACTTCATACCAACTGAATGCTTTACGCTCAGCTCTAGCCCTCTATGGCTATGTCCTTGTCTATGGGCTCAAGTGTCCCCAGGTCTCACCACGCTTTGGACCAACCAGCCCATCCTCTTCTCTCTCTCATCTCCAGATCAACGGGAGTCAATGGACCGTGGTTGAACTCAGCCCATTTCATTGCTGCCTTTCCCCCTCTTCCACTCACCAGTAGACCAATGTGGTCACCAGCAAGCTTACATGCTTGTTTGTGTGTTCCCTTTGAGTTTCAGTCTTAGAGGGGAGTTTGTCCTGAAGAAACTTGATTGCTAGCCTTGATGGCTTCCTGGCGAACAGCTTGCGTATTCTTGTAGTAACCAGTCATGCTGACATTTTTGTTTTGGGTTTTTCCTGATGATCTTTCTTGAAGATGTATCTTCTGTCACTGTAGCTATTCCAGGCTGGTCTGCTTGTCCTTGCTAGTGGGAATGTCCCACCTCATAAGGTTCTGGATGGGACTCAGGTCCTATACTCTGTGAAGGCTTTGCACGAGGCCTATTTCACTGGGCAAGTTCTAGAACGCCCTTTTAGGTATTCTAATCAGTAATAGGCTGAAGACAGGCTTTCAAGTTTTCTCTAATCACGTTTCCCAACATTCCTTTCTATCCCACTCAAGTGTCTGTTTACAGTAATAGGCATGGGAAACCAATATTCATAAGACAGTCAAGCATTTTAGTAGTATTTCCCCTCTTCAAACTAACAACTCTGTTTTAAGAAAGCAAAAAGGTGTGTAAAGTATTTAAAAACTTTATTTAAATTAATTTTTAAAGGGTGAATTTTTCTTTTTGAAGTTGGTATTCACTGATCTCGTCCAATGACACCATCAGAGCAGCATCACACCTGAGACCTCACGGCAGGTGAGCAGCCTGTGTGCATGCGGCTCTGGGCTCGCCTCTGAGGTGGAAACGGAGCGTAGCATAGTTAGCAGACCGAGTGCTCGCAGATGTGGACCCTGGAACCCCTGAAGCAGCAGCACACTGTGCCTCATGTGAGCAGGACCCAGCAGGGAGGGCTGGGAGGCATGTGCTCCACACTGTCACCACCACCGTCTGATGCCTATCACTGGAAGATGCTAATAGTGTCCCCAAAGTGATTTCTTCTTTTCATTATCTTTAGCCTGTTTGAAATAAAATAAAATTTTAAATTATCAATAAGTTACTGTAGAGCATCTGTTTCAGCTGTTGTCTGGAAAAGTGTGTAGGAAATTATGGTTTTTGAAAATGACTGTAAACATCACTTAGCATTCTTTAGGACATTTTATATCTAGCATAGCTGAGTGGAAGGGAATTAAAGGCATTTTATTGAATGTTGCAGCACTCACTGCCTAATTTCCAATTTAAAGTCAAATTTCAAAAAATAGTTTTTGTAGATTAGATACAACGTGGGCAGTACCATATTTGCATTAAAAAAAAAAAAAAAAAAGGTCTACAAACAAATTGTGAAGAAGAAACGAGCAGTGCTGTACAATCGGGTCATCCTACTGTCTGTATCGGAAAGGACCTGTTTCCCTGTAGTGTCCTTGTCGTCCACAGGACAACTATACTGCCTGTTAGATACCTAGCGTCAGAGTGTCTCTTCAGGACTTAGATAAAATAGGGTTTTATATCATGATAGAACAAAGCATTTCTTCATAGTGTGGTCACTTGCTAAAATCAGAACAGCACACTCCCTCCCCCGCTTCTCTCCAGGACTGAGGAATGTTAGCATCTCAGGAGCGTGGGTTTGCACTGCTGTGGTCATGACAACCGCCCTCTGCACAAAGGGGCGGCCTCCCCAAACATTGGGCTCTGGCACAAACATTTGACTTTCTTCAGAGCAATCATATTAAAGCAAATTCCTTGTCTTTGCCAAACACAAGATTCATTGTGAGAAACTTCCAGCTTCCTTAGTGAAATCAGGAAGCTTTCCCGTGTTACCCAGATTCATGCAGGCAGTTTTTCTTCTCTTAAAGCCCAGCTCTAGAAAGCCACTCTTTGATGGAGCTCCTGCTGACTTCTAGTGGTGGTAGGAAGTCCAACCTGCAGATGTCTGTTGGGTGGGACTCTGCAATGCTCTTCTCTTTGCTCGTCCTGCTTTGTGATGCTGGAGACCCAGGGCCGGGAAGATGCCCTTTAGCTCTTCAGCCATTTCTTCTCTGAAATGTGAACTCAATGCTAAGTGACCCTGGTTGGCTAAGCTCTTGGGGTCAGTGCTAGAGACCATGCTGCACCATGTGTGGGTGGTGCCCACTGCTCCATGTCCACCCTTCAGAGCATGTTGTCAGCTGGGCTATACCATGTGTGGGTGGTGCCCACTGCTCC